TTTCCTGCAACAGATTTAAAATTCACTTTATTCCTCCTGGTGATGTAATTGTATAAACATTCAAGGTCTTGTGTGAAATTCTGAAAAGCTGTGGATGGAATTCAAGCTCAGAAAGTCCCATAGTTCCTAAAATCTGCCTTGTTACGTGAACATAGATATCCCCATCTTCCCCCAACTCACTTTTATTTATGTTTGGGTTCTCTGGTTTTGGCTGGTTAGTTTTGTTTGTTTTGTTTTTGATAGGGAGTCAGGAAAAATGTCAGGACGTAAGAAAAGAGGGACACAGTTCACATTTCCCCCAAGTGATCTAAGAAGCTGAAGGGTTGGCATCAGCTAACACAGCACTATGCAAATTTGAGGTTTGGTGTTTTTCCATGGATGAAAGACAAGCTCTACAGAGCTCACACATTAGAGGAGCAAAGAAGTATCAGCAACTTAAACATCTGTTTGCTATGCTGCAAAACAGCAAGGAAAAGAAGCACTGGTAAGTACAATACTTCAAAATAGTGGTTGCAAGGGGGGGTCTGCAGGCCTCAATCAGCATGGAAGCAGCTGTGTGTGGCAAACTGATGACTGGGAACAAGAAAAATGCACTGAGTCTAGATAAACTCCAGCTATATATAAGCTTAAAATTATGTGAAGTAATCTTGAAACGACTTGCAAAAGGCTGTGATGAATTCTCCATCATTTGAAAATTTAAAAATCAGATAAAACCTCTCATTCAGAAGTTACAGCATAAATTACAGGGTGGAGTTTTACTGGACTGTTATATTTGGAGGGGGTTTGGACTTGATGAACATAAACATTTCAGGGTGGAAGTGACTGCTTTGATATGAAAGATTAGATCCTTTTGATAAATTCCTACTTAACTGCTCTAAAACCAGTCAATTTAGCTACAATACACCATTTACCACTAAATCACACCAAACATTTATATGCAAATACAATCTTCCTTACTGTCCTTCCATATCCAACAGAATTGTAATTATGAATTGTACACTGAGGACAGTTGTAAATAGACACTGACTTTTTAAAGTGCAGGCCTAGAGGAAAAAAAAAAAATTGCTGCTTTAACTGATTTGTGATAATTTTTTGCAGAGATGACTCAAAGGATTTATAAACAGGAAATACATTCCACTGAAATACAGCCCAGAGAAGAAGAATCACACACTAGTAATATGTCCAGTATTTCAACATGTAAAGCACCACATTGTCAAGGTGTTGGACAGCCAGACCTCCATGAGGCTGGATCTAAGGGAGTTAATACTAGAGATGACAGAAGCCTTTGAGTAAGCAGATTAAAAGAGAAAAAAACAAAAAGCAAGAGAGACTCAGAAACATGAGATCTAAGTAACTCACCTGAAAAGGAGCCTTTCCTGTCAAACACTGATAAATGATGGTTCCTATACTCCAGAGATCAGCTTTGGCATCATAGTGTTGAGACATAATGACTTCCGGTGCCTTTTTGGGGGAGAAAACATAAATCTGTTTTATAAAAGATGTAGCTTTTTTTTTTTGTCAGCTGCAAGAAACAAACAGAAGTCAGTATGATGCTTTAAAAACCCTCGAGCTAGACTTCCCAATAGCCATGAGAGGTTTGCTCCCAAGAAGACTCTAACACTACCTTGAAAGGACCAATTCTCTAAGCAGGGAAAGCAGATACTTGCACTCAGTCAGACAGAAAATAGCAGAGGCTGTCTTGTTATTTTGGGAAGCTCATTCCTTCCCCTTCTCAGCATACCACTTTCTGCTGACCCCACCTGTGCTCAGAAGTAGCCTCACTGAAATTGCACTGACAGATCTTCTAAACTAAAGCAAGTAGCAGGTAAATGATCAAGAAAGCAAAGGCTCACACTGCACAGGTAAGCTTCAGCCTCCATCCTGATCTGCATCATGTATGCACTTTGCTCATTTAGCCTAAGATGGCAGCATATTAACTATGCTCCTGTGCCTGCTGCTAAGGTCACAGTTTGGGTGCAAAGGCAGATCTGTGCATTTCAGTCCAGCAGCTTCAGCCCTGCTGCGCCTCAGATTCTGATTTCTCATCTCACACCATGCCCTTGGCTGCTCCCTCCCAGGCTTCTCCCAGAATCTGGAGATGATACAAGTCCACAAGCCCCACAGCTCAGGTGGCAGGGAGCCTTAGGAGCAGAAGCAGGGGGACAGAAGGGCAGGCTTGCTAGCCCCACGTGTTCATAACAACACATTCCATCACAGTGCTGCCAGCATGGAACAGGATCCATTTTCTAGCTCTGCTAGAAGGCCACATGTAACAGAAGAAATAATGTCAGCAAGAAAGTTGTGGAGAGGAGCTTGGTCTATCCCTAAGGGAAGCAGGCATGAATGCAAACAAAGCCAAGGAACCAGGACAAGAACTGCACAAGGAGGTTTCAAGTCTCACATTATAAGAATCACAACAGGGTTCAGACAGAAAGCTCATTCTGGTGAGGGTAAAAATGCCTTTTTTTGTTGTTTAATAATAAAATGAAAAGAGGAGCAGGGAATGAGGGCCTTGACAGCAAATGTTCCCTGACCTATTGCACAGGATTCACAGTAACAGCAGGGACAGAAATCCCAGCTGAACCCTCCTTCCCCATCTTCCTTCAAATCCATCAGTAACAGAGAACATGAAACATTGAGATTCTTTGTAATGCCCAGAGTTATACGTAATAAAAAACCAGAGGTCATCACTAGTTTCCTCCAGCCATTTCAAAAAATAAGCTAGTGCTTTCATTTACTTTCACAGGAGACTCCCAAAGAAAAAATATCACTAAAAATAGACAATTCAGGAAACTCTCACCAGAGAAAAATATGACATCACCTTCACATATAGCACAGTTCAAATAAACATCAGGCTTCAAAAAAGGGAGAGACAGGAAACCTGTGGAACAGACTACCAAACATAACACCCCTGTGCAGTGCAGCACAGTCTAACTCTGCCCGAAGAGTACAGACCAAAAAAAACCCCAAAACAAACAACTTAGAGTTGATTAAACCATGTTCAGAAATCAGGTGCCTACCACCTCCAAGGCACTTGTAAAAAATTCTACCTAAATTGAGCTCAAAGTAAAGAGATTATGTGAGTCAGACACCCACATCCCCAGAAACTATTACATGGCTGGCTTTGACATTTTTATTTCTGGCCTGGTTTTCTCATTTTTAATTTCACTGACTTGATGCTACACTGAGATCTTGACTGCTACTACAAGCAAAAACGATATTACCTCCTCACATCCTGTCCCAAAATGGAAAGTACAAAGGGAGTGAAAGGGATCAGTTGGATTTTTTTAAACACATCTGTTTCATAAGCTAAAAAGTCATCCTGGAAGAAGCTGGTTTGGGGAAAGAATTACTGGGGGAAGGAGGATTAGGGAGTGCAAATGCAAAAAACAAATTGCAAAAAGAAGCAAGTGACCTCCATTTACACCCATGTGCTGAGTTGTCCAGCAAAGCATACTTAGGAGGAAGCTAGCCAGAATGGCAAAATCTCTGCCTGCATAGGTCCACAGACCTGCAGGGATTCTGCAAGACCAAAGAGCTAAAAACAGTTGGGAGATTTTACAAAACTGCTGCTAAAGAGAGACTTCATTCCTGGTGCTGTAGCCTTAGCTAAATCAACTGCAATGCCTTCAGTGGAGAGGCCCTAGTCCCCTCTGGCAGATAAAGGTTCTGGGAGCAGGCCGTAATCAACACCCTGTTCAGTCCTATTTATTGAGAATCAGCTCAATGAAAGTTAGAGGACAACACAGGCACCTGTTGTCCAACATCATCAGCAGCTAGAACTTTATGAAGTCTCCCTGTGAAGTAGCTGGTTTCTGACAAGTAAATAAAATTTCACTTTTTGGGGAAAAGACTAGCAAAAAAACCCCCCAAAAACCAAAGCCTTGCTTTGGGAAGAACAATGCAGAAAAGCCTGTAGGCAAAACACACTTACCATGTACATTGGTGAACCACACAATGTTGCTGCCATCATATTATTCTGCAGGTATCGGGCAAACCCAAAGTCAGCTACAAAGAGAAACAGAGAGGTAGGTCAGCATTGTCTGATCCAGTTCTAGAAAGCTTGCACCTTCCCCTGTTGATTCTCCCTATTTTACTGTCACTTCCTATGAATCTTGTCAGCAAGTTAAGTACCCCATCTTAACAAGAATTACCTCTGCAGGTTACTCAGCATCTGATCATATGATTATTTAGAGGCTCTCTCAAGGTTACCAGATATTTCAAGCTAGGAGACAGACACAGCTGTTTACACTGTCAGCTGTCACCAATGACTTGGTATGACTAGCTATCCCCAGGACCAGGTATTTGTCAGGGAAGCAGGACAGAGGAGCTGTAGGCACCTCATACCCAAGAGCAGTCGTGCCCACAGCCCTCCTGTCTGCGTCATGGCTCCCAGGCACTTCCACCTCCTAGGTAACTGCATTTCACAAAAACCCACTCCAGACAAATGGGCAGCAACACTTCAAGCTCTTCCACTGGACCTAATTTCTCAGCTGAATAAAAGCATTAACACTTTCTCCACAGCACAGGGTTCAGGCGAGGAACAGCTTTAACTAATTTGTGTCATCTTCAGCTCATGAACACCACCAAAAGTCCCTGTGTTGAGGGAGGTATCATCCAGTACTCACTTCTGAGGGACCACAGGGAATAATACATGTACTCTCTAACTGGATTACTGGAGCATTTATCCCAGCTACTGGCCTATCTGTGGCACTTGTCTAATGTGCAAAAAGTTCATTTCATGCAGAGACAGGCTCGGGCTGTGGGAACACCTGTGCTCAGGTGCACCTGGCTCCTGCTGCCCTCTGAGGCCAGGAGAGCAGCTCGGTTCAGGCCTTAAGACACCAACAGTTACCTCAATTCTACTAAAAGCTGAAAACAAAAGTCACAACAGCTGCTCATTTCTCAGTAAGCCTAGTGATTACAAGGCAATTAGGGCAGGCTGGTATTTGTTTTTACCAAGGGAGGCTCAAGCTTGAAAGTGGAGCAAGGCCTGCTCCGTTTTGGTTTTTTTTGCTTTAGGCCCATGTCCTGGCAGAGCAAAAAGCTTTTTCTCACACTGTTTGGGGGCAACTAACGGGTATGCCTAGCAGAGAAATTAAGATGAAAAACATGAGTGCATTTTAAAAAGTGCAGCAATTCTTTCCTCCCCCTAAACAGGCAGCCAGAGCAAGCCTGGGACCTGCCACCAAACCCTCCCGAAAGCGCCCAGGGCGACGTTTGCAGCAGGGTCTTACCTATCTTGATGCGAATGTTGTTGGGATTTGATTTCCTGCCTCCTGCGTAGGAAAGGAGGATGTTCTGTGGTTTCAGGTCCCGATGGATGATGCCTTTGCTGTGCAGCATTTTCATGGCACCTGCGATCTGCTGGAGGAAGAGCCTGATGGTGTCTTCACTCAGTGTCCGCATAGCTAGGAAGGAGGGGGAAAAAATGACCACATATTAAAAAAATTGCAATGCCAGCTCTCTGAAGAGCCCAGAGGGCAGATTCTCCACAGCAATTAGCCATAATTTGGCATTTTTACCTCCCCATATGTTTTTTCTCCACACGCTGGTTCTGAATGATTCCTACAGGCAACAAGGGAGAGTGTTTGCATTCCCAGCTGGTTCTGTGCTCAGGGCCCATTTCAGTCCTGAGTCTCTTACGGTGAACTCAGGCCACTGGCAAAATTTGGATTATCCACAGGGTCCAAAGACACTTGGTGAAGTTTAGCAAGAGCTGCCAGCCAGCTCTAGGTGTACACCAGGGAGAAACTTATAGCCCAAGGAGAGGACTGGTCACTACCTTTGGGCTACAGTCAATAAATTCAGAGCTATATCACAAAGACTATGTCTAAACCTGGAGCTAAAAGATGCACTAGACCAAATAATAATTCTAATCCCAAACCCAGTGTTAGGATGAATCACAATACAATACCTAACAATACCTGCCCTATGAAACAGTCCCTGCAAGCCATAATTGACACCCTCCATCTTGCATCCATAGGTAGGAAAGAACAGCAAGACTGTTTCAGAATGCTTTTACAAGCAATTAAAAAAATAAATACTAGTAATCAAAATCCACAAATATGGAAGCTCTCAACTGTACACTCTTGAGATACAGGCTTCCCAAGAAGAGTGGTGTGAAAATACACACTGAAGGGCTTAAGACAATGTTCACCTGGTTCTTCTAATCAGAACTATGAGGCATTAGTTCTCATTAAGAGCTGTATTTATGAAATTCTCACCTGAGCTGAGAGCAGCCTTCTGAACAAACCCCAGGATCAACAGTACTACCAGCTTGCCTTGTGTCAGTCACTGAGCAAGCCAGGCTTAGAGCAAGGACCATTCCATTTGAATAAAATAATTTATTTTGTGAAAGGTCCTTGTAAATTACTTGGGACTTCATTAGTGTTTTTCCAGCTGTTTTCCAGTAAGACATTAAAAATGAGCTGGCAGGAGCTTCAAAATGCTACTCTACCTAGTTAGCTAAAAGGGAGGAATCCTTACGAAAACACAGAGGAGGTTGCACACAGCTTTAACACAACACAGGAAATTAAAAATCTAACTTTTTAAACGCATGCATGGGAAACAGCACAGGACACAGATAAGTTAAAGCACTTAAAAGAGAAAATAAACTTCCACTGCTCCCAAACTTCACTGCTCTAGAAGGAGGCACAAGCAGAGCTGTAATACCAGCATGGCTGTCAGCTGGTCCTGGACTCACACGTGAGATCAGTGCACGTTTCTCTCCCCTCAATGGGCCTTTCTGCTTATGAACTAGCATTCAGCTGGAATTCAAGAGACTCCTCTGCAAGAAGGGGAGATTCTATGAAGGAATTTTTAGAGCTCAGATGCAAGTCTTCCAAACAGACTTGCATCTTCTGGGGGGGGGGAAGCACTGCTTCATCTTTAACATGGCTTTCCCCAACCTCCT